CAAAGAAGTTCTTCCTCATGTTCAGGTGGAACTTCCTGGGCATCAATTCCTGCCTGTGCCTCTTGTCCCGTTGCTGGGCCTCTCCGAGCAGAGCCTGGTCCATCCTCTGCCCCCTCCCTGCAGACACTGACAGACATGGATGAGGTCCCCTCTCAGTGTCTCTTCTTGAGGCCGAACAGCCCCAGCTCTCTCAGCCCTTCCTCATCTGAGAGATGCTCCAGTCCCTACATCATCTTTACATAACAGGTACAATTGTCTCTCCCAGGCTGTATCACCAGCTCCTTAAATGCTCAGACATCAGAGGGCTACAGTATCCAAGTGATCTTTCGGTTGCTGATAATCACCTCTGCATTTCAAACTTCCTCTGTTGTCTTTGCATCCTTCCAGTGGCTGTTCTATGTGAACACCTGCTAAGACTTGGACTGTGGTTTCTGGTGTTACCACTCTCACTGAGGTCACAGTGGCTGGGCAGGACCTCTTAGGTTCTAATCTGTTTCCTAAAATATCAATTCAAGGAGATGTCTCCCCCTTCCCCACCAGGGACACTGTGGAGGGCCACAGTCCTAAATGGCTTCGTTAACTGAGGCTTCAGCCCAGCAGAAAGAGTCACCTGGTTGTTCTCACGTGCAGAAACCAACGCAGTGGGGACTTTGTTCAGTCAAGAGGCTCTTTGCTGGAGCATGGATTGTAGAAATCATTGTCTTTGTGCTGCCTGAGCTGTGGCACTGCTCCTCAAAACTGGAGATACCCCCTATCAGGACACACCTTTCCACAGCTGCTCATCAAGCTCCTGTGCAGCTTCTGCCATATCACAGGAGAGAGTCTGGTGGCTGACTGTGTGCAGGAGATGGGTGTGGCTACTCTGAGAACTCATCCCATCAACATTTTTTAAGTAGGAAGCCATAAAGAGAATAAAGACAGTGGAGCTGCATGTCCACAGCAAGGATCTCACTGAGGGGTAGACCCTGGGTTAAGGCTGACACTCGGGCACTCAGACACTACAAGGGAAAGTTAAAATGGTCTTAGAGAGGGAAATCACTTGATATCAGGTATATTGAACCAAGAGAGGATGGCCCTTTCCATTGGAGACATTTCTGGTTTGGAAACACCACCGCTAAATTTCTGTAGAGGGCAAGAGTGCTGGAATGGGCACGTTGTTCTTGAATGAAGAGAAGCTGAATCACTTGATGGGTTGTGAATCCAGGTTCAACATTTTTGGATGTCAGCCACGGGAGTGTGTGTTCCATGAGGTGACTAGCCTTCCAAAGAAAATGCAGTCCTACACCCTCCCATGTCCTCCAAAGCTATTTCTGCTGAGGTTTTGGAGCTGTGCTTCTTGCTTACAGATTCTGCTTCTTTATTGTCCTTTCTGGGGAATTATCCTTCATCTGGAGGCCCCATGTTGGTGTTTCACATCAACAACAGGGAAGGCAACTTCTACAAATCCTTTTTTTACCCCCAAATGCATCACTGTAAAGTGGGCTCTGGGGTGTCAAGTGCCTTCCAGGTCATTTGCACAGAGATACCCATCTGTGTGCAGGGCCTTGGGACTGTCTCCCTGTCTCAGGTTACAGTTTGCATCAGGAAATGCTGATCTCCCTGGCACCTGGTGTTTCTTCTTTCCACTTAATTGAGAGATGCACAGGTAGCTGGAGCAAAGAGCTCCCTTGGGTGTAAAATGAGCTCCTGGCACCCCCCTGGGTTACACAAAGGAGGTGAGTTACCCGAGGCACCAGGATCCCTGCTGGTGCAGCTCTGGTAGCCTAACAGGAAAGCTGTGGAGAGAAGCCCGTGGTGAACTCTCCTGGAAAAGCTGCCAAGTCTCCAGGGAGAAGTGACTGCACACGGCAGCTCATGGAGTCATCTGGGACCTCTGCACACCAGTTCTTCCTGAGTTCTCCAATACTGTCCTTCATTCAGTCTCTCTGTAGCTTCCCTGCAGCCCTTTTCTTGCCTTGGAGTCATGAATCTCCTTGTCTTCTGCTTCTCAGCCCATCACGTGCTATTCTTACCTGTGAGGGTGGGGAGGCCCTGGAACAGGTTGCCCAGAGAAGTTGTGGATTTCCCATTCCTGAAAGTGTTCCAGGCCAGGTTGAATGGGGCTTGGAGCAACCTGGGACCGTGGAAGGTGTCTCTGATCATTGCAGGGGGTTGGAATGAGATGAACTTTAAGGTCCCTCCCAATCCCACACTTTATGAAGGCAGCGAGGACCACATCGCATGTTTCTTGTGGGGTCCTGGCCAAGGATCCTTCTAGAGAGGAGCAAAACTGCAGAAACCCAGAAACACGACATGGTTTGGTGCAGTCCAGGCACTGCCTGATTTCTTAGACATCCAGCAAAGCTGTAGAGAGCAGGAAGTTCTTAAGGGAGCTCTTAATGAGCGACCAGGAGGGATTAGAGAGCCTGGAGCAGTTTGTGCAAAGTATTTGGACTTAGATCTTATCCCGTGTCACACTTCCTAAATCTCCAAGCAGCCTCCTGCTGTGATAGGGTGTTGCAGCCTAGGAAGCAGGGCCTGATATGGGAATCCCAATCCTAAATCATGGTTATAATCATAGAATGGTTAGGGTTGGAAGGGACCTTGAAGGCCATTTAGGTTCTTCTGCTGTTTCTGGCTGAGGGAGGTGACTTCTGACAACGTAAGGTGCTACCAGAAGGGGTAGTTTGTGTGTTGTTCCCCTTCTCAGGGGAGCAGAGTTAGGGATCAGTAGGATGTCCTCTGAAGGACAAAGGGGACAAGATGAGGGCAAACAGAACTCTGTGTTTGATGGATCAGTGATTTGATGGACCACAGCAAGTCTTCAGACAGAAGTTGATCAAATCTTCCTTTCCCTGAGTTGATCCTCATTGTCAACAGCATTTGTGCAAAGACCTTCCTTCTGCTGAGCTGTACTTCCAGCAAACAATGTTACTACATGTTTTTTCCCCTTATTCCAAACACATCTATCTTTCACAACCCCAAACATTAACTCCCAAGGAACAAAGGCTTTGAGATAAGATTAGCTTTGCCACAGAGGTGTTTATAAGCTCTTTTTTTTCCGTTCCCTCCTGCTTATGAATTCCACCCCTTGGCAGGGAGGTTGAGATTGTTATGTAACAGCTTAGCTACTGTAATTAGAGGGCACAAAATTACATAGGAAGGAGGGACATTATCCAGTGTGGATGCTACACACTCACCTGAGTTTCAAAAGCACATGGGTTGAGTTTGTGGAGGAGAAAAACCTTAATGAGGAGTGACTGTGAATATACTGAGTGTGCAGGTGTCTGGTTCAGAAAGTCCTTCAGCTGAAGATCACAGAGGTCTGTGAGAGTTTTGTAGGGAAAGAGCTGCTGGTAGAGACAAAGAAACTGGACTGGGATGATCTTTGCTTGGTTTGCTGTGGTTGCTTTTATGCTCTTAGTTGGGTTCCCTGATGATGAGCAAAACCTGCCTCAGCACAGCAAGGAGCAGAGCAGGAGCCCACAGAGCTTTGCAAACAAACCACTCTCTATAAAAATGCTGTTTTTCAAAGCCATTTATTATAAGCATAACACTGAGGCACAAGGAAGCCCAGTGCAGTAATTATATTTGTGAAGTTCAGGTCATGTCCGTTTGCTGGACCCAACTGATTATTATTCACACAATAGAGCCTTTTTTGTGTGGTGCTGAGCTTATCAGTCCCTAATTTAAAAATTATTTGTGCTTGAGTCACGTTTACCCTCCCTCTCTACAGTACTTTGAATCTGAAGGTGCTCCTGGAAGGCAAACCAACCTCCTCTTTTGACGTGGAGTTCCCATTTAACCATATTTTTTGAAACGTTGCCTGTGTTTTCTGAAGTCTGTTGAATTTCACAGTGTTCTGTAGATAATACTCTTTCCATCTCGCTTAGTTCCTGCCCATAAACAGGTCTTAAATTGTTCACAGTGGGGAAGAGAGGAGATAAAACACCTTCCAGCTTTTGCTTTTTCATCTTCCTCCTTGTAGGAAGGCAAATGTCTAATTCTTTATTTATTCCTGAAGTTTTGCCATCATTAATTATCACAGTAGATTCTGGTCTTAGAGGACTTTCTCCTTCTATCATCATGATGGGGCTCTGGATCTTCTGGTTTTTTGAATACTCAAACCCCTTTCTGCCATTATAACTCTCAGAAGTGTGCTCTTGGACCCCTTTAAGAATTCTTTCTTGGAGGTAGAAGAATTTTCCATCTGCCTGGGGACCAACCTGCTCTGAGAAGGACCTGGAGGTCCTGGTGGACAACAAGATGTCCATGAGCCAGCAGTGTCACCGACCATTAGGAAGAGCATTGCCAGCAGGTCAGGGAGGGGATCCTGCCTCTCTGCTCAGCCCTGGTGAGGCACATCTGGAGTTCTGTGTCCAATTCTGGGCTCCTCAGTGCAAGAAAGACATGGAGCTATTGGAGCAGGTCCAGTGAAGGGTGACAAAGATGATGAGGAGACTGGAGCATCTCCCTTACAAAGAAAGGCTGAGGGAGCTGGGGCTGTTCAGCCTCGAGGAGAGACACTGAGAGGGGACCTCATCCATGTCAGTGTCTGCAGGGAGGGGGCAGAGGATGGACCAGGCTCTGCTCAGGGGGGCCCAGCAATGAGGAACAAGAGGCACAGGCAGGAATTGATGCCCAGGAAGTTCCACCTGAACACGAGGAAGAACTTCTTTGCTGTGCAGTGACTGAGCACTGAGCAGATTGTCACTGAGCACTGAGCAGAGAGGGGGTGGAGTCCCCTCACTGGAGATATTCGAGAACTGTGAGGACACAATCCTGTGCCGTGTGCTCTGGGATGGCCCTGTTTGAGCAAGGAGGTGGGACCAGGTGACCCACTGTGGTCCTTTCCAACCTGACCCATTCTGTGAATCCGTGATGAGTTGCAGTCATGACACATTCCCTATCCCAGGTTGCTCCAAGCTCCATCCAACCTGGCCTTGAACACTTCCAGGGATGGGGCAGCCACAGCTTCTCTGGGCAACTTTTGCCAGGGCCTCACCACCCTCACAGGGAAGAATTTCTTTCATATATCCAACCTAAATGTCCCCTCTTTCAGTTTGAACCCATTACTCCTTGTCCTGTCACCACAGTTCCTGACAAAGGCTCCTTCTCCAAATTCCTTGTAGGCCCACTACAAGGGAGGCCCACAAAGGTATACCAGGCTGTATTCCTGTGTTTTCCACAAGCTTTTGCCACTGCCCAGAGACAGATTAATAAGGAAGTGGAGTTTTGCCTGGATTTTATACGCCCTTATGTCCCTCAGCCCTGATGAGCAACATGTCCAAGCTCCTGTTGTGTCCACATGTGCCACAACATCCACAAAGAGTCACCAGGGAGGGAGACTGAACTTGGCCTTGATGTGACAGCTCAGCCACACAGGATGTGAAAAGAAGAAACATCTTCTCCCTGTGGTGCTGAACTGGTTTGATGCTGATGCTCATCATCCCCAGCAGATGTGACACGGGCTGTGCCCAGGCACAGGGAGGTGTCACATCGAGTTGGCAGCACAGGAGAACCTCACACTGATCACAGCCAGGTCTCATCTTCCCTCTGTGAGTGACTGGCGTCGCTTCTGCACCCAAACATGTGTGTCACACTGGGTTGCTGCTTCCTTGGAGAAGAAAAAAGGGGAAGATTTTAGTTAGAAGTAATTATTTTTTTAATTAAAAGAATTAGCTTGATGATCTTTGGTTCAATTAGATTTGTCTTGTCTATTTATTTTTTTTTATTCTAATGAGGGGTGAAGCACTGTGTGAACCACAGATGGTTTGTTTTTAAATACATTCCCCTGGCATCACTCCCCTCTCCGTGAGCTCCAGCAAAGTGAAAACACAGGTGTTGGCCCTCCAGGTAGGCTGTGGAGGAGGAATGCCTCTGCTGGGGGCATCTCCCACCTGGAGATCACACTACGTGTGAGATCCCTGCCTGAAAGGCCTCTCAGAGGAGGCAGAGCCTCTGCAGGAGGTTTAACTCCAGCACTGGGTGCTCACACCTTGGGGACTGCAATCACAGTAAAGAGAAATTCTTGCGCTGCAATGGACCAGATTAAAGCCTCCAGTGCTCCCCAGGTGCTTCTGTGTTGCTGTTTTCTTATAATCAACATCTTTCTGTGATCAGGGAATAACAATCCTGCAAGGGCAGCTCCCCTCAGGACACATGGGAATTCTGCTCATGCACTGATGGCAGATAAACAATCTGCTCTCTTTTATATCCAAAGTTCTAATTTCCACCCTCGTGGTGATTGGTTCTACAATCACAGAATCATTAAGGTTGGAAAAGACCTCCAAGATCATCGAGTCCAACTTTTGACCCATCACCACCTTGTCAACCAGACCAGAGCACTGAGTGCCATGTCCAGGTATTAAAGAGGGATGAGACACAATTAAGGACAGTCCACAGCAACAAGAATTATCAAAAAAATGGGAAAAAGGGAAGGAAACAGCCCTGTGAAGAGCAGAAGTGGCTAGAGGTGAAAAGGGGACAATCTTACAGTGTGAAGCACCACCACCACCACAACAAAAAACCTCAAATATATTGATTTTGAAGGCACGTGCTCAAACAGTGACAAGATTAGTCATTAGCACCAACTTCTGGCTGTAAGGAAGTCCTGGGAAGGTCACCTAGAGAGGGAGCAGAGTTATGTTGCTATGAGATTTAAGAGCAGGTCAGGTCAGATCCATCAGCAGAGATGTGTTGAGTGGATCCTGTCTCACCCACCTGCTCTCTTCAGTTTTAGCACCTGGATCTCTCACCATTCCTTGCTGCTTCTCCAATAAACACGTAAAATAATGAGTGTTTATCCTGAGAATGTACCCAAAAAAGCCACTGATTGGAGTTCTGAAGTACACAGCCCTCTAGAAGTCCCGACCTGCACTGCAACCAGCCAGCAGGGATTCCTGGATCTCCAAGGGATACATTTGTTATTTTGGGGAAGAAAACAGCTTCGTTTGTTCCCTGAACACTCTCCTATACTTCCCCATTTATGCACTGCCTTGCACCTTCACATCTAAGCAAACAAAATGGATGAAGGAAGCATCCCAAACATAACAATGATTTAACTGAGGGGAATGAGGGACTTCTGAGGGAAAAATCAGGCCCTGAGTCACACCCTCCATGGACATCTGCCTGTGCAGAGGCCATAATGTTGCTAAGAAATCCACAGCAAGTTGTCACCTGCCCTCAAGCAGGGATTTCACACCTCAGAGTGGATACAGGGAGCTCACAGGGGGCAGTGCTGTAATTTAAAGTGACTTTCACTTCTTTTGGTGACAAGGCCAGGTTGGACATGGCCCTGGGCAACCTGGTCTAGTGGAAGGTGTCCCTGCCCCTGGCAGGGGGCTGGAACTAAATAAGCTTTAAGGTCCCTTCCGACCCAAACCATTCTATGATGACTTTTCCAGTTTTCCAGCAGTGCTAAAAACACCACATGGAAGACTAAGGACAGAAACAGTAAGTTTCAGCCAAACTCTCTGCCCTTCACACCTTCTATAAAGGCAAAATATTCGTCCTTGTAACAAAAATGAATAACCACAGCTAGAAACAAAGGCAGAAGGGAAAGGTTATAAACCCTCACCAGTCGGTTTTGCAGAACTGGATTCACCAACGTGTCTGGGGTGCACAGAACATCCATTTTCCTTCCTTCCTCACTGGCCTTCACAGAGCAGGTTTCCACACGGGGATTCACTTCAAGTAGGCTATGGAAACAAGATGCATAATTAGTGCAGCTAATGACAAGGATGAGTTTCCAATCTAAGCATGAGCAGATCAAACACTCCCAGGTCAGCAGGAGAGAGTTTGTTCACAGTAAATCATGGCCTGCTTTCCCAAAGGTCTGTGTCCTCTAAACAACACAAAAGCTGGTATGAAAACAAGCTCCCCCAGGTCTCTGAGGTGAGCAGATGTTGCAGGAGAAAAGGGTTTTGATGGGAAGGATTTTTCAACCCCAACAGTGCAGCATCTGCTGCACCACCCTGAGGCAACCCCACAGTTGTTGGGATGCTCGGCCAAGAGCAAAGAGACCACCCTAACAGCCTTTGTGTATGGATGGAGCCCCTGATGCTGGGGAGGAGAAGGTTTGGAAAGCACAGAATGCAGGTCAGGTTTTGAAAAAACATCTTTGTGCCGTGGTTTTTGTAACTTTGCCTCACTGTCAACGCAATGATGCAACTTCCTAAAAAGCCGAGAAACCAAGAAAACGGGAAATGACCATCTGATCCAGAAGGAATGGTCTGCTGTGGGGTTTTTTTTGTGGTGGTTTACACTCGTTGAAGATGGATTAGAGTTTCTGGGCTAAAGCGTCAGCATATGCAATCTTTTCACCTGGTGAGCACACAGCTCTCAGATTAAAAGGGCAATTCTTCCCCTTTTTTATAATTGCATTTATTGTGCAGGAAAGGTTCTGCATTACCCCCGTCCCTTCCTCACAGGCAGGAGTGACAAGGCACCTCAGTGCAAGGTTGACATCACAAGCTCCCTGTAGATGTGGTCTCTCAGGACCATTTCACTAGTTTGTGTTCCTGCTAATTACAGAGGGTGTTTGGCACCGAGTATTGACCCAAACCCCACAGCTCTGCATTTGGAAAGCACAGAATGCAAGTCAGGTTTTGGAAAAACATCTTTGTGCTGTGGTTTTTCTAACTTTGCTTCACTGTCAATGCAATGATGCAGCTTCCTAAAAAGCTGAGAAACAAAGCAGAGAAGGAAAATCCTGTAATGAGTGAAAGGTCACTTTCCCAACTCTATTTACTGAGCACAATTTTGTTAAATAGACTTTGGAGTACAAAGAGTGAGTTTATGAAAAGGACTCAGGTTTCACCCGATAACATAACAAAAAGCTTTCCTGTCAGGGGTCAAACCCTGTAAAATGTGTGACTTGCCAGATCTGGGAGTTGATTCACAACTGCTCAGTGTGGAATCGAAATCACTGAGTGGTTTGGGTTTGAAGGGACCTTAAATATCATCCAGTTCCAACCCCCTGCCATGGGCAGGGACACCTTCCACTACCCCAGGTTGCTCCAAGCCCTGTCCAACCTGGCCTTGGACACTTCCAGGGATCTGGGGGCAGCTACAGCTTCTCTGGGCAACCTGTGCCAGGGCCTCCCCATCCTCACAGAATTTTTTTCTAATATCTAATCTAAACCTACCTTCATTTTGAATCCATTCCCCCTTGTCCTGTAATTCCACACCCTCATGAAAGTCCCTCTCCAGCCTTCTTGGAAGCCCCCTTTAGGTACTGGAAGTCTGTAGCTCAAAATGGTCCAGGGAAACACTGGGTTTCATTGCTCTTGAACAGGGCAACCTCCATGAACCACCCTGAGAAAAGCCTGCTAAAAACACATCCAGGCATTCCATGAAATCTGCCAGGTCTCAGGGACTTAAATCCCTCATCCCTCAAGTGTCCTGATCAATTAACCTCAAAACTCACACTCTAAAATAAAGCTGGTTCTGACGGGAGATTCCAGAGGGGAATGTCAGGACAGAAAAGTCGAAATGCATTTAAAATTAAATCCAAACCGGCCATCTCTGCAAACCAGAGCCCTTTCCACAGCTGCAAAACCATTTTTCAGGAGCTGGGAGTGTGCTGGATGCTCCAGGAACAGGCAGGCAGCCTCTCCAGCCTCTCCCAGCTGTCCAGCCCATGGAGCAGCCAGCAGGAGCTTTTGCAGGGTGCCAGGGAAAAATCTGCCTAAGAATTCCTTGCCTTTGCTGGAGGGTAATAAGGCATCATGTTACGAGCCAGGGAGAGGCAAAAGCATTTAGGAATTCCATTTTCCAGCCAGTGCTAGTGGATAATCACTATAATGTAGCATGATGAGGCTGCAAACTTTGTTCTTGGAATTTAATAGTCCTTTTATTGAAATAAAAGCAGGTTATTCCTTCTTCTTATGTGACATCTCTGAGGCAAGAGGTGCTGCAGGTCAGATTTTCTGGATCTTTTTGCATTTCATAGAATCACTTAGGATGGAAAAGACCTTCTAGATCTTCAAGTCTAACCTGTGACTGATCCCCACCTTGTCACCCAGCCCAGAGCACTGAGTGCCACGTCCAGTCTTTCCTTGGACATTTCCAGGGATGGAGACTCCATCACCTCCCTGGGCAGCCTCTTCCAATGTTTGACAACCCTTTCCATGAAGAAATTCTTCCTGAATTTACAGTATTATCTGTAGGACAGACAATAAAGCTGGAATTATATTTTATTTCATTAGTATAGTTTTGCTGTCATTTTCCTGCAGACTGAACTGTAATTGCCATTTTTCCACCCTCCCACTGGCAAGATGAGGATTGTTGGGATGGGGAAGGGAACTGCCTGCTGCCTTCAGCTCTTGATTTATCCACAGCTTTTTGTTGCAGCAAGATATAAACATACATCAGCATATGCTTTAGCTGAAAACCAGAGCTTGCCAACTCAAGCAGGTTGGGAATTTTCCATCCAGGGAAAGAGCAATCTCAGCAAAAAAAAAAAAAAATTTAAAAAAAATCCTCCTTGGGGACAAAAAGGCGGTTTTGCCTAAATAATTCAATTTTCATTCTCCTTAAATAAAAGTCTGGAGTCTGGGAAATATCCCTAGAATGGTTTGGGTTGGAAGGGACCTTAAAGATCATCTTGTTCCAACCCCCTGCCATGGGCAGGGACACCTTCTACTAGACCAGGTTGCTCTGGTCCCATTGCCTATAATCTCTCCTTAAATATCCATAGATTATGGTTGCTGGAGGTGCTGGTACCTTTGCTCTGACCAGCCTGGTCCTTGTTACACACTTCCTGAAGCCAGCTCAGCTCTGTGTGTCATGGAAGCTCCTGGGCAGGAGCCCAGAGCATGAAAATATGACACATGAACTATCCCAGGCCCCTCTGAAGGTACAGCTCACTGAGCTGGAATCTTCAGCTCAGCAGCCCAAAAAAAGGAATCCTGAAATATTAAAAATGTTTTTGTTAAAGGTACCTCCAGGAAATACTCTGTGGAGCTCGACTAAATCAAGGGAAAAGGGTGTAATACAAAAAAAAAAAAAATATATTTAGGTCTTAATTTTCATTCAGGACAAAGATGAACATTAAAGTATCAGGGGAAAACCTTTCAGAGAGCTCTGCTAAGCAAAATAAAACCCTCCAGTGCACACACAGAGATCTCCCCAGCCCGGAGATCAGAGGTAGAGCCAACTGCGTCTGACAGGGATTAATCACATCCCTTCCCGCCTGGCTGGGCAGGACCCGGGCACAGCTCCGGGGCAGGAGGAGACCCTACACAAACACTGGGCCCTGATATGCACTGAGACAAAAGGATAAAGCACTCAGGCTTCACTGTTTAAACGCAGGGATGGTTTGTTGTCAAGCCCGCCAACAAAAAAATCCCTGGAATTTGCTGTGAATATAAGACATGAATCAGTTCAGGGTTGGGGCAGAGCCTGCTTATTTTATAATTTTATTTTTTAATTTTATTTTTAATTCTAGTTTTTAATTTTATTATTTTATTTTTAATTTTACTTTTTTTCACCTCTTACAAAATGCTGAATGAAATCGTTCAAAGTTCAGAGAGCAAACAAAGCAGGGCTGGCCACTATTTCCAAAGCTTCCAGACACGAACAAATGGCCAGTAACTAAAAACTCAGCTCACAGAGTGTAGAAATCTTGGAAAATCGTGCTATAACAGAGGGGAAAATCCTTTGCTGGCTATGGAAGCCGAGTGCTCACAACTCCTGGCTCTCAAGTGCCTAACTGAGTTTGAAAGGACTGTTAAGCACCATTCACCAAAACAGCTGTCCCTCTTGAAAAGAGGGAAAGCTTCAGGAGGAAAATAAACACAAAGCAGTCTCTTGTTCCACTGCAGAGCCTTGAAAAAGTGCAGTTAATGCCCTTGGAGAGGCAAAGCCGCGGAGTGTCAGCAGTGTCGCTCTGTCTGCTACAGATTGAACAGAATCTGCCAAAAAAAGTCAAATTAAAGGGTCATCTGACACTCTGTGCCGTCTCACAGGCCACCAGCAGCCGGGTTGGACTCCACAGAGTCATGCATTCCATGGGTTGGAAGGGACTTTAAAGATCATCTCATTCCACCCCCCTGCCATGGGCAGGGACACCTTCCAATAGACCAGGTTGCTCCAAGTCCCATCCTACCTGACCTTGGACACTTGCTGTTAAGGGAGTAAAATGTAGCCAGACTGAAATGTTATTTTAAAAATTAAATTAAACTCAAATGTTTTTAGCAATCCTCGAAGTTACTTTAATCAAACAGGGAACTTCCAGCTGAAGCTTCCAGTACTATCAGAAAATCCATGAACACACCTTTTCTCATTCATGCTTAAAACAAACCTTGTGAGTAAACGTTCCCTTTATTATCATAGAATGGTTTGGGTTGGAAGGGACTTAAAAACCCCACCTTGTTCCATCCCCCTGTCATGAGCAGGGACACCTTCCACTAGCCCAGGTTGCTCCAAGTCCCATCCAACCTGGCCTTGGACACTTCCAGGGATGGGGCAGCCACAGCTTCTCTGGGCAACCTGTGCCAGGCCCAAACCACCCTCACAGGGAAGAATTGCTTCCAGTGAAATGACTTCCAGTGGTCCTTTTCAACCTTACCTATCCTGTCATTCCATGATTTTCCAGGCTAATAGATCTCAGACTTCCATCATATCATCACCTCAGCAATCCCTTTTCCAGGCTGAGTCGTCTGCCACCAAACGGAAGGGAAGTAAGAACCTCTACCATGACCCCGTGGCTGCTCCAAGGAAGGGCACTGTGCATCCAGCCCAGCCCTGCAGTCAGGGCAGACACAGTCACCTGGGATACTGCAGAGGGAAAAAAGAAAAGATTCTGTTGTCCCCATGACCCTGAGAGTGCAGAGAGTGGAAGAAAAGGGTGTTTTCAGCTCAGGAAGGATGTGCTTGGAGCACCCAGGGCTTTGCTGTATCTGCTCAGCTGAGTCAATGTAAATCCAAGAATGATTTAGGTTGGAAGAGACCTCCAAGATCAAGTCCAACTTGTGACTGATCCCCACCTTGTCACCCAGCCCAGAGCACTGAGTGCCACGTCCAGTCATTCCTTGGACACCTCCAGGGATGAGGACTCCACCACCTCCCTGGGCAGCCCCTTCCAATGTTTAAAAGTCCTTTCCATGAAGAAATTCCTTCCAATATCCAATCTGAACCTCCCCTGGTGCAACTTGGGGCCGTTTCCCCTTGTCCTGTCCCTTGTTCCCTGGGAGCAGAGCCCGATCCCCCCCGGTTCCCCCCTCCTGCCAGGTTGTTGCAGAGAGCCAGAAGGTCCCCTCTGAGCATCCTTTTCTCCAGGCTGAGCCCCCCCCAGCTCCTTCAGCCACTCCTGGTGCTCCAGACCCTTCCCCAGCTCTGTTCCCTTCCCCAGACACACAGTAAAGTTCTCTTCCAGACCAGGATCACACCAGGATGGCAGATCCCCCAAGGGATCAGAAGTGGTCCCATAAACCATTCCCTTCCTCCAGCACCGAGCCAGCACTTGGAGCATTACACTGGCATAGAATCAGCAGGATGGAGTGAGCAGAAAGCTGGCCCTGAACCACCCCATCCTCTGGGTCCAGCTGGAATCCAAGGCCTCCCTGATACAGCCCAGCTGGAAAACTCTCCTCCCAGAGCTCAGGAGGTTGCCTGCTCGTGGGAAAGAGCACAAAGCCCTGCAAGATAAGAAAGGTAAAACCAAGGACAGAGGTAGGAACGTCAATGTGATGGCAGCAGCTCCAAGGGGCAAGAGTAAAACCATCAATATGGGAAGGCAGAAAATCCTAAAGGGAAGAAAACTCAAGCCCAGATGGGTGGATGGCATCTCAGCAGCGTGGATGTTCCATTCCAACAACCAGCTGAGGGTGATCCTCCCACCCAGTGAGCACCAATGTGGGCAGCAAAGACACCTTGGGTGTCTTCCTCTGGTCAGCACAGCCTTGGAGCTCACTAAGCCAGGTTGGACAGGGCTTGGAGCAACCTAGGATAGTGGAAGGTCTCCTTGCCCACGGCATGAGGTTGGAACAAGATGATCTTTAAGGTCCCTTCCAACACAAACCATTCTGTGATTCTATGACAGTCCTCACCTGTGTGTATCCTAGAATTAGGTTGGAAAAGACCTCCAAGATCACTGAGTGCAACTGTTCTCCCAGCACTGACAAGGCCCTGACTAAACCATGTCTCCAAGTACCACATCCACATACCTTTTGAACACTTCCAGGGCAATTCCAGTGCTTCCCTGGGCAGCTTGTTCCAGTCCTGCTCAGAGAATCTCTGTGCATGTCAAGATATGTCCCCAAAAATGCTCCATGGAGAGAGAGAGAGAGAGAGTTACAGGCAACTGAGAAGTTTGTATGGTTTGTATTTTTCATGTTATCTGGATTTTAAGGTTTTGTGGGTTTGTCTGTTGTCTGGATTTTTTTTTTTTTTTTTTTTAAATAATATAAATCCATGTCCGAAAGACTTCAAACATAAAAAACCAACCTGAAGTTCATTAACAGACTAACAAGGGAATATTGGGAATGCAAATCAAAGGGAAGAGAGCAGGACATGTTCCAACAAGCTGCTCTGCCTCTCAAGGCCATAATGAGAGGGATCTGGGCTGGGTGTTGAGGTTTCTCAGCAGAAAGAAATCCAGGGAGCTGAAAACAGGGAGAGAGGGCAGCAAAAGGCTGATTTTGACTCAGAAGAGGAACAGCTTGATCCTCACAGCACATTATCCACCTCCCTCACTCAGACCCCCTGGAACAGCAGCTGGGTTACAGATTTAGGGATGCTCCTGATTTGGAGAGCAACATATGCAGCCAGTCCCTGAGGGATCTGATTCCTCAGCAGTTGATCCCATTTCTTCCTGCCTCAAACAGTTCCAAAACTGCAACAAATTTAACATGGTGTCACCCAGGACCAAGAAAAGCCCCAGACCATTCCCACCCTCCAGGAGGGGCAGTTTATTAACACACAGTAAACTGGAAATTCCTAAGCATCCTTTGCATAGCCTGTGGTGAGGGACTTCTCCATGCTGGGACTCTGAGCACTGCCAGGATGGTGACCAGGGTTGTTGGGAATGACTTCTGCTGCTGGGAATCTCCATCAGCAGACAAGCACTGTCCATCCTCTCCTAGGCAGCCATGGTGGCTCTAAGACTGTTCCTGTCACTCTCCCCACTCTACACCACTGCCTTTTTCCTCCCCTTTCCCATGAAGCATCCAGAAGTGCTGCTTGTTCAAAGCTTTCAGAAACAGCCTCTCCCAGAACCTCAGGCTTGATCTCCCTCCCATCCCCTCCTACACATTCTGTGGGGTTTTGTGGTCTCATCCTGCTCCCCTCTGCCCTTGCTGAACTTGCACCCACTGTGCTTGGATAGCTGAAGGAAAGAAGCTCTTCCCAGCCTTTCAGGACACCTGGAGACACAGCAAAGCTCCTGCCATAGGGATGTGCCATCCCTGTGGTTCCTTGGTGAAGAGACTCACTTGAGATGACACCAGCAATCCTGTGGCAGCGGCAGGACCAGGACTTCACTCTCCCAAATCCCAGTCTGGTGCCTAAAACAATAAAAATAAAAAAAGGAATTGTTCTTCCAGTCTACATGAGGATCCAGCTGCAGTGACAGTCTATGATGACAGCTCATTAAGCCATAAAATCATGGAATGGTTTGGGATGGAAGGGACCTTAAAGCTATTTCATTCCAATTCCCTGCCATAGGTAGGGACATCTTCCACTATCCCAGGTTGCTCCAAGCCTCCAAGGAGTTCTCTGTTTAAAACAAAAAGCCCAAACTCTAAAACAACCCTTATTCCTGCCAGGAAGTTTTTATTCCATACCATCAAGGATCTACAAGCCAAAAGGAAATGTTGCACTTACTTTGCTGGCACATCAGTGTTTTTCATGCCAGGAAAGAGACCATCCTGGATGGTACCACCACCGACTGGGATGTGCAGTCCTGGAAACTGGGCGTGTACCTCCCTAAGCTGTAACAAACCTGAGTTTAGTAGCTAAACCAGTGTTTTTAAGACTGGTGTAACACACATCTTACCACAGTGAGTCTGTGTGTCACGGAATCACAGAATGGGATGGGTTGGAAGGGACCTTAAGCTCATCCAGTTCCAACCCCCTGCCATGGGCAGGGACATCTTCCACTAGCCCAGGTTGCTCCAAGTCCCATCCAACCTGGCCTTGGACACTTCCATGGATCCAGGGGCAGCCACAGCTTCTCTGAGCAACCTGTGCCAGGGCCTCACCACCCTCACAGCCAACAATTCCTCCCCAGTGTCCCATCTATTCCTGCCCTCTGGCAGTGGGAAGCTGTTCCCTGCGTCCTGTCCCTCCAGGCCCTTGTCCCAAGTCCCTCTCCAGATCTCCTGGAGCCCCTTTAGGCACTGGAAGGGGCTCCAAGGTCTCCCTGGAGCCTTCTCTGCTCCAGGTGAACACCCCCAGCTCTCCCAGCCTGGCTCCAGAGCAGAGGGGTTCCAGCCCTTGGAGCATCTCCGTGGCCTCCTCTGGACTCGCTCCAGCAGCTCCACGTCCTTGTGCTGTTGTTCCCCAGGGCTGGAGGCAGCTCTGCAGGTGGGGTCTCACCTGAGGGGGCAGAGGGGCAGAATCCTCCCCTCCCCTGCTGCCCACGCTGTGGGATGAGCCCAGGACATGGGGGGTTTCTGGGCTGGGAGTGCCCATGGCCGGGGCATGTCCAGCCTCTCACCCACCAGCACCCAAAGTTCTCCCCAGGGCTGCTCCATCTGTTCATCCTCAGCCTGGACTGATTCCAGGAGTTGCCCCAACTTAGTGCAGTGGTTGGGTTGTTTGCCAGCACTTTCACATACTGAGGGAGCAGATTTGGAGCTTTCAGAGCAAACCCTCCATTAGCTGAGCTGCAGCATCAGATAAAGTATCTGAATCCATCAGCAACACCCTCACAGCAGAACATCAAAGGATCATCAGCTGAGCTCTGAAAGACAAATGCCAGGGGCTTGTCATGACATTCCCACAGCAGGGGAAGCTGTGAGCAGCCAACACAGCCCAGCATCACCGAGTTTCAGCCCATGTGCAATGGTAAATCCTCCTCATTGTCTTCTCTCACTGCTTGGAGGAAAAATAGGCAGCATGGAAGAGAGTCCTGCAGTGGCACTAAATAATAACACTTGGGTTTTCAAAACAGAAATGCCAACAGTCTCAAAAAAAAAAAAAAAAAAAGAGAAGTTGAATAAAACCAAATTTCAACACTTGGTCAGATGGACTCCTGATACATGAAGTGTCCAAGGCCAGGTTAGGTGGGGCTTGGAGTAACCTGGGATAGAGGAAGGTGTTCCTGCCCATGGAGCTGGATGGTCTTTAAGGTCCCTTCCAATCCAAACCATTCTATGATTCTCTAGTTATTTTCTCCCTCCCCTCCTAAAATCAAGCTTAACCCAGATCAGGCTGCCTGATCACAGCTGAAAGTATTTTAAATAGACCTACTCTGTTTCACCTGGGACTTTTGGAAACGTTTTGCAAATAGAGGGACTGAAAATCAACCTTTTCACATCAAAACCTTCAGCAACTTTCCCTGTGTTATCACACAGGGCTGCACACCCCACCCCAGTCTCCATCTGCTCCAACACCAAAAGCCACAAAAACTCACCACCTTCCCAACGAGTTGCAGAGACCACAGATGACACTGCAGGGAAACAGAAAGCCCAGTGGTTCCCAGACTCCTGACTCACTAGCAGGGAGAGATCCAGGAGCTTCCACAGTTCCCAGCCTCCATTTCCCAAGAGCTGTTTAGTCTTTTTTTGTTCCTTCCCCTGGCACGTGCACCGGGGTACCCCCACCTCCCTCAAAAACAACAGGTAACTGTGACCCCAGGTCTATGGATGGACTTCATAGTCACAGAACAGTTTGGGTTGCAAGGAACCTTAAAAACCATCTCATTTCAACCCCCTGCCTTGGGTAGGGACACCTCCCACTACCCCAGGTTGCTCCAAGCCCCGTCCAACCTGGCCTTGGACACTGCCAGGGATGGGGCAGCCACAGCTTCTCTGGGCAACCTGTGCCAGGGCCTCACCACTCTCACCCTCTTTTAGTTTAAAACCATTCCCCCTTCTGTCACCATCTCCCTTCTGCAGGGCTTTGCTTCAGCCCAAACCCCTTTCCCTCTGAATACCCCTGCCTCTCTGCCTTTGGAGAGTTCAATACCAGCAAAAAACCTTGGCCAAGCTAATTATTTATCCATCATGTGCAGAGCTGGTGTCCAAGGACCAAAACCTTGATATCAGAGCTCTGCCAGCCACTCACAGCCTCAGGGTCTCAACCTTTTCCTTCCATCCCTCTTCTACAATCACAGAACCTGTTCAGCTGTAAAATAAACACACATGAGCTGAAAAGAGCTAAAATTTCAGGCAAGAACTCACACCCAGGCCACACACACACAGTGGGAAGCAGACGCCACACCAATAAAGATTCAGCACTATAATTAAAGAACTTTTTAGTCTTCAAGATTTTAATTCAAACAGACACATCTACTATATTCTCACATATCTACAGCAAAGTTTACAGCCACTTTGTATCTGTTTTTCTCCCCCCAAATGGCTGAACATTGAGCCATGATCTTTTTTCCTCAGATTTGTTACCTTTTTTTTGCAATATATTCCATACCACAGCAGTTGGGGTTCTGTACACACACAGCATACACCTAAAACAGCACAACTCCCAGCCCTGCTATTGCAATTTGTACAAGAAAAATCAAGACTGATGCAGCAGCCAAGTCCAAATAGCAATTCCAGATGTTGGGACAGCAGTGCACTCATCACTTGAATTGGCAGCAGTGAACAGATACACACCACACAGTGCTGCTATCACAAAATACAGGGAGTGCTGGGATACACCTTCCCTCCTCCCACAGGAGCCTGGACACACAAGAGCACTTCCCAAGGCTGGAGCAAAGCACACATGAGACACCAAAATGCTGTACAGTGCAATTTGAAGTTCTATCCTATGCAACAGGAGTGCACTTCAACCAGTGCCACATTCAAGAGTTAGATCAATACAATCAAAATATTGAAGGTAAATAATTCCCTTATGAAAACTGTGCAAGTTAGTTCCTTTTCCCTTCTTCTTTTTTTCTTTTGGTAAGTGGCAGTGTCCTCATTGACTGACCCCAAAATTTGGAGGTGGGGCCCTCAGTGTCCAGCTTGTTCCACAATTAGTGTGTGCAAAAGAGCAGAAGCAGGGGGTCAGCAGGGGTGTAAGGCAGTGGCACAGGGAAGAGCCAGAGCTGGGCACTGCCACAGCACCTGGAGCTTGGGAAGACACTGGGAATCTGCAATGGGGGTGTCAGGGACTTCAGGGGGCAGGTGTCCCCCTCTGAGAGGGGGCAAATCCAACATCGATATTAAATATGTGATTAAATATGGGAGACAAGCAGGAAAGCAAAGAATCGGAGTGTTCCGCTGTGTTTCACACCAGTAGCCACCAGACTGGTGCCTGGGAAGCACTGGGAATGAATGGAAAGGTTAAAGGAGAACATGGAAGCAGCCTGACACAAGAGCTCTGTGAACTGTCCTCTCCCAGGAGGAGTTAAAACACCACATCGTGTCCCAACTCCATCACCTGCAACACCTCACAGGGCTGCTGCAGGTAACCTGTTTGCAGGGACAGGAATTATGGAATGAACTGCTGGAGCTGCTCAGGGTGACCCCAGCACTTCCACACAAAGGCTGGGATCCACCAAGCCAAGGCACACACAGCACTTGGGTGTGGATTCAGACACAAGGGGAGGATGGATTAAATGCCAGCTCAGGGGGAATGCGCTGCCTTTTGTTGGCTGTCACAGCTGGTTTCCCAATTTCCTGGGATGCCTGCAGTTTGCAGGAGAGGCTGGAGGAGCCAGGCAATTAGATCCCAAAAAACCCCATCTCTGCTTCTCTATTATTTAGCTCAATCTATAATTACTGTGTTAGGAAATTGCATAACCTTCAAGGGTGTTTTATGTATAGCCTATTACAAGGAAAACAGTGTCTTCTGAATCCTTCCCATCTGGCTGGGGATAATGGATTTCAGATGTACAAATCCTGAACTGGGCAGGGAAACACCACCCAGGGAGGTGCAGATCCCACAGAAATGATTTTAAAGGGTGAACAGTCATTTTAGAGGGCTTATATTAACAACATAGCCAGAGGTATCTCCAGCAGCCAGATTTGGAGGTGGGAAGAGGGAACAGCCAAATTGTGCCTCCCCTGTGATGCAGGACAGATCACCCTGAGCAGCATTCCCTGTGTCAGACTTGATTTAGTGAACAAAACCATCACTCTCCAAACCTAAAAAGAAATCAGTGTTACAAGCAGGGAGAATTACTTTTCTGCCTTCAGTGGCTTAAAAGGGATCTTGGTATTTTTTCATGACTTTAGGGCTAAGTTTAGGTTAGTCAAGAAGAAAAGAATTAAGGAAATAAAGAGTGAACAAGAGGCATTAAGGTAGCACTTAATCACTATAACATAATTTTATATTGCTTCCTTGGTTATAGGATTTCCTTAGAATATATTTAGTGGCCACATGATTTTTGCAGATCACTCTCCAGCTGCTTCTACAACAACTAAAGATCCTGCAGTTTTACATTTATCTGTGTGAAAGTGGCTTTTAAATAAAGGCAGTTTCATTCCACAAACTGGAAGCTCAACAGTTTCCAAAGAGAACACCACTGACCTCTTGCAGCTCCATTTCAGTAACAGCAAGATTTCTGGATAATCCCAGCCACATGTGCTGCTGTTAATTCAACTCTTCTCAGTCCTGTCCATCCATGGAATTGAGCTGAGAAAATGAGTATTTCAGACCTACTCTTACCTGTCTTTTGAAAGGAGAAAAAAAATCGCTAAAGAAAACTCTGATTTCATAAAAGCAGATTGAAGTCGCAGAAACAGGAAGAGCAGCTACAAAATACAAAGTTAAATGGAAAAAAAAAGCTTATCCCTAAAGTCTTTAAGTAATTTTAGCAGCTACCAATCATCTAAACTCTGAGCATTTCTGTAGTGTGATGGCCTCTTAATCTGCAGCAGATCTGTGAGGTCACCTGAACTTCCAGCTCCTGCTTTTTTGAGGTTTCACAACATGGATATAAGAGCACAAGAGGGAAAAGCACATCAGCTGGAGCAA